GTGAAAATGGAGATTTGTGAATATTCAATCCCCATTGATTTAAATGGAGGTTGCCCCTCTATGAATATGTAAAACTGTGGACCTGACATCTGTGAGAACGGAGGGGTGACTGTATACAGCTGCTACTCAACTATACACCTGTTTTATCCCTATACTTCTGATAGGATTCTGCACATCCATGGAGCCTGATCTTAGTCAGAATTAGTTATGCCAAACCCATTGGAATTAGTGAATTTGAGCACACTTTGCATAGGATAGTAATTGACACAGGCACACCAACATTCCTAGTTTTCCCAAAACTTGGAAATTCCAGTGTCCAAACTGTTTGTTTTAATCACACTTTGTTGCACACCTATGCTATCATTTTTATCCCATTACATCTTTGGTTTCCCATATAAGATGAGAGACAAGTTGAAGCTTCTCCTTGAAATGCACTGTTGTCAACTCTTTTGGTAATAAATTTTTATTACATCTTTATCATGTTGCTCTTTGAAAAGCTTAGAGTCAACTAAAGGCACATCTGGGATACAGAACATTTCTCTAGAGGCAACTTTTTTTTAGACTGAGGGCATAAGCTTTTCAATCATACCCATTTCTTAACTACTTGAAAGCAACATTTTGTCTGATGTTTGTGAGCACACAGATGTGAGCTCATCTGTGTGTATTTACATATTTTTCAACAAATATAACTAAACTGAAGCTACAAGGTGTAATGAATGAACTAAACAGTAACACTTTAGCTGGGAAGCCAATTTTAACTTGTGGCTTAAAGCATGGAAAAGCATATTGTTGTGGGCTTGGAATGTTGTGAAAAAGAAAACATTAAAGACACATTTCTCTTTTATTTATAAACATCATTTTGTCTACATGATTAAGCTTTTATTTGCAGACATTCCTCTATTAATTGCTCCTTTTAGGTATGGTATGGTTAATTGCTTGTTGTTGTCTGCCTTCAAGTTATTTCTGACTTATGGCAACCCTAAGGTGACCCTATCATGGGGTTTTCTTGGCAAGATTTGTTCAGAGGAGGTTTGCCATTGCCTTTCCCTGAGGCTGACAGCATGAGCCCAGTGGGTTTCATGAGCACATGGGGAATCGAACCCTGGTCTCCAGCATCATTGTCTGACACGCAAACCACTACACCACACTGGCTCCCCCAGTATGGTTAATATGCTAATTTATTTACTTCAAGTCAGCATGGCCTAGTGTTTGAGTCTTGGACTAGGACTCCAGAAGATCAGGATTCATATTCCCACTCAGCCACAGAAACCCACTGGGTGATCTTAGGCAAGTTACAGTCTCTCAGCCTTGGAGGAACAAATCTTGCCAAGCAAACCCAGTGATAGGTTTGCCTTAAGATCACCGTAAGAGAAGTGCAATCCATCAACATCTGGATGGTAACTCCCACCCTTGTCATAGGATAAATTTTTATTCCGAACTTCATCTGTATTATTCAGATGGAATAGCAAATATAAAATATATTTATTTTATGTATTTCATATAAGCATTTTTATCCTGGTTGTGACTTTAAAAAATTACCATTATCATTAAAAAAGGAAGATAAAATATAATTTATTAATAACGATAATATGTTTCAAAGGCAGTATTAAACAGAAGATCAATTTTTTTTGAAAAATTTTATTGCAATAAAAGCATACATAAACATACATAAACATACATCCATAAACAAACAACCATAAATACACAAATACAAACAATACAATAAACAAATCACAATATAAGCACATGACCTATAAGTGCTTAAACAAACAAACAAGAAAACAAAAACAAATAAAAAACAGATAAGTATACATGCAACTCTTGCATAAAACATGTCTTATCCAAAGTGCACAACTGTTATTATACTGCTATCTACAAACTTCCTTGATGTCTTATAGTTATCCATATATTTATTTACTCTTTATTTACTTCCTCAGATTAAACAGAAGATCAATTTGAGTCACAAAAGCAGCAACAAAATCCTCCATGTTCATCATCAAAGTCTTGGAAAAATAAGCACTTTTTATTTGGCAGCTAAAACTCAACAGAATTGGAGCCTGGAGGATACACCTGTGGACAGAATTCCAACAGGGTGGCCACCACTGGGAAGGCCCTGCTCCATGTTGATCTGAACGCTGTGATAGCAAGAAACCTGGAATACACTATTTTTGGAGGGTCGGCTAAAGACTTGCTCAAGATTCTACTCATTGTAGTGCTGGCTAGATTGGTGGATGGAAATTAAAAGGACTTTCACATAGCGACACTGTACCTCTGGAACTTGGGGGTTTACCAGCCCCCTCATCCCTGAACATCTTCAGAAAAGCTCTGAAAAATCACTGTAACCCCCCAACCCTTCTTTAGCATATGGGATTCTGGCTTCACTAGTAGTTCCTGTTGCTGTTATTGATTTTCATTGTATTGCATTGTATTATTTGTATTGCTTTTAAAAGTCTTGAACACTGCCCCAGGAAGCTTCTGTCTTTAAACCTCATGAAGCTTCTGCCCTTAAAGATGGGCATAAAATACATTTAAATAAATAGGGCCTGGATTTTATTTCTGTTCTCCGATTCCCTCTGGTTTTCCTGGCTCAACAGCAGCAGCATAGGGCTTCATATGGTTGTAGTAAATATACCAGCATCATGGCTGTTATTTCAGGACTGCTGGGTGTGCTCAGTATTTCTGTCTTGCTCCTGTAATGTGATGGCAGGAGCAGACCCCTAGAGGGATGTATATCCAGGCAAGAATGGGGGTCTCCACATTGCCAATCCAGACTCAGAAGCGCCCATTCAGTTTTGTGACAGAGAATTGACACAGCTTCTGATTTATGTATTTTGTGTGTATATGTGTGTGTGTGTGTTTTTAAAGTGATTTATTCTATCTCTCAGTTTCATTTCCTGCATTAATGAGTGTGGAGAGCTTTAATTTTTAAACCAGCAGGTTTTCCATGCTGATTTGCTTCATGCTTTTGCTGCTCTCAGTTGATCACTATGTTATAAATCTTTGCATTAAGTATGTGGCTTATTGTTACGGTTATTAATGCTAGAACACACCACATTTGGAATGACTGTAAATGGATTTGCTGATATGACTGCATAAGAAAACTGGGTCTGGAACGCATCCAGCTCTGTGGGGTAGAAGGGTCAGCGGGTGTTTGCATTCATGTTACAAAGAGGATGAGAAGAATTTTGCAATTTGAGTAAGTGTATGGATTCTGCATGAAAGATTATGATGACATTTTATCAGTGATACATTTTCATGGACAGAAGGACACAGAGCATCAATAGCAGAACAACCCATGGTGCAAACATTGGTAACAGGCTGCTTCTACAATACTGTGTAGTCTAGACCATTCTTTGTTTGCTCTCTTTTTTTAATTATAGTGAATCAACATATCCTTATCAAATTCAGAGCTTAGACATTACTAGTTTGGACTACAGCTGCTTTGGCTCCCCAGCCAGCAGATTCGAGACGTTATGATCCATAAAAATAATTTTTCAAATTTTGAACAATTTTTTATTGTTAAAACTGTTGTTCTTTTGTATTTCCCCTATGATTCCTCCATATATATATTTTTGGAAGTTCACATAACCTTTTTGTTTGCAAAAAAATGCAACTGCAGCACAATCCCTATACTCTAGCTGTACTATATTCTATATATAATCCCTATACTTTCCCTATATTCTAGCCACAAATAGTGCCCTTCAGATATGTAGGGCTTTATTTGCCACTCTGAATAAGGTTGGATGGGATTTGTAATGCACTCTATCTAGAAAGATGTATTGGATGTGGAATGTACAGCTTTTCTATGTTTTTAAAGATTTGTATTTTTTTTTTTTTTGCAGTGATGTTTTTTAAATGATTGACCCTATCACTATTTGCTTGAGCAATTCTTAGCTTTTCACTCATTGTAGGAACATTTTAAAAGGATTTTTTAAAAAAGAAATCTCAGACAAGTGCCTTATTAAAACATTACTAAAACAGAGCAAACATGTAGTTCGCTGTTTGTCTATTTAATTTCTTTGCAAAAGAGAAACAACTGTTGAGCAATTGTTTCCAGCAATTTGCTCAGCCAGTAGTTACTGGTGTTGACTAAAACCATTCTTTCTCTGTACCACAAAAGAGACTTGCAGCACCTTAAAGACTAACAAGGGTTATTTAGCATACATGTTTGAGTAGTGCTGTCCATATTATCAGATGAATGCATGTATCAGATTGAGTGAGTTTAAGGTCCACAAGACCTTGTTGTTCTTGCTTTGATCAAAAATACTACTCTCAAAATTCCTGCTTACAGTGGGCTCTTGGTATCCACTGGGGTTTAAGTCTAGGACCCCCCATGGATATGAAACTCTATGGATGCTCAAGTCTCATTAAATATAATGATGTTGTGAAATGGTGTCCCTTATATAAAATGGCAAAATCAAGCTTTGATTTTTTGAATTTATATATATTTTGAATATTTTCAAGCTGTGAATGCTTGAATCCATTGATAAAAAATGAATAACTCTGTAGATATGGAGGGACAACTGTATATGGAACCAACCCCAGGAACCAATCTAGGGCACACTGTATGTTCTCTCTTCTTGTACTGTGTTCTGACATCATTAGGTGACTTTCTGGAGTGCTTCAGCAATATGTTTATTGCATTTGATATAAAGTGGCTTGAAAACCAGTGGTTCTCTCCAAGTCCTTTTTTATTTATTTCGACCTTAAGGCAACCGTATCATGGGGTTTTCTTGGCAAGTTTCTTCAGAGGGGGTTTGCCATTGTCATCCTCTGAGGCTGAGAGAGTGTGTTTTGCCCAAGGTCACCAGTGGGTTTCCTTGTTTGAGCAGGATTTAAGCCCTGGTCTCCAGAGTCATAGGACCTTATCACACGGGGTCTAAAGCAG